CCCAGGAAAGGCGCAAAGCTACACAGAGAAACCCTGTCTCAAAAAAACCAAAAAAAAAAAAAAAAAAAATTAGATCCAGCTGTGTACAAACTGCAAGGAAAGAGAGGAGGGATCTACAAGCCAAACAGAGGGCTCCGAAGACACCAACTCTGCTGACACCTTGACCTCTTGGCCTCCAGAACAGAGAGAGAAGACAAGCAGCCTGTATGTTGTGGAGGCCCTGGTAGGCTCAACTACAATCCACAATGTATGCCCAGAGGAAGGTTTGGCCCTGCATCTGTTGTTCACTGTGTCTTTTGTCATCTTATTGAACAGACAGGACACAGAACAGGAAGGATTAGCCGCCACTCAGTGAACGTCTTACTAGGTAGCAATTGGTAGAACAAGGATTTGAACCCAGGTCAGTCTAATGTTGGTGCCTGCCACCCCTGACCAGCCTGCACCTGGCCAAGCTGCACTCAATAGTGATGAGAGGAAAATGCAGCATTGGCCAGAACAGATTTTCAAAGTCTCTTCCCAGGTGAACCGTCTATACCTTGGTATGCCCCCTGGGGCTCAACTGGATTCCCAGCAAGCCTTGGCAGCTCTCACCCTCTGGAAAGAGTGCCACTCTCACTGAGGAGTACAAGAGTGTCCGTGAATGTTGAGAGCTGCTAGAGAAGGTGCCCGGTGTTCCTCTAGGGAGAATGAGGACTACACCTGCCGATCAGTGGCACTCTCTAGCTTTCGGAACATTACCGATGCCTGCACCTCGGAGGCTCGCTCTAACTTTCAGAACACTGCCAGTGTTACATAACAGAGCAGCCACTATCTGCCCCACGTCAGCCCTACCCCCACCTCCTCAGCCATGCCTCTGACATCTTCGGTACCGATGTGCCTTCTGCCGAGGGTGTCTTTCTTATATTACCCACTTGGTGACCCCCATGCACATTCAAGCGTCAAACTGCCAGTGTTTCACTTCCAGCAAGTCCTGGTCTTCCCTGGAAGATTTGCATCTGTTTTGTGACAGACATGTCCTAAGGTGACCCCGATGAGTGACACTCCTGTACATTCTCAGCTATCTTAGTTTAGACACAATCTATGACTTGCTTCCAGCCAATTCGAAATGACAATGGGGAGTGGATGTCATTGCTTTGATGAGGTCCCTTTTCGTGTCAAGGACGCTGGGGCGGCATAATTATGATTGTGTTATGTTCTGGAAAATATCATTTTCGACCAGTTAACCTGAGTTGAATTGTGAGCAGCTTCTTTGCATAGAGAAACCAGCAAAGAGTAGAGCCCTCAGTCACAAGCAATGGAGTCTGCCGTCAACTTCGTGAGCATGGAAGAAACTCATCCTTCTCCAGTGACGACGTCAGTGGAAAGCACAGTTATGCTAGCAGCTGCTCTTCAGCCTTGTATAGTCCTGGGCAGAGAAGTAAGTTCAGCCAGGCCCAGATTCCTAACCAAAGGAAACTATGCTAAGAGAAATGAGCATTGCTTAAAGTATCCTGTGAGTAGCAATTGGTTGTATAGCAGTAGTTAATGCATAGACTGTTACACACATGGCCAGGCCTTGTGTGTAAGTGTGAAAGTGTGTGTGCCTATGTGTGTCTTTGTGTGTGAGTGTGTGTCTCTCTGTGTATATGAATGTGTATCTGTGTGTATGAGTATGTGTGAGTGTGTGTCCATATGTATGTGTGTGTGTGAGTGTGAGTGTGAGTATGTCTCTGTGTCTGAGTGTGTGTTTGTGTGTGTGCATGCATGTGTTCCATCACACATCAGAGGACAGCCTTCAGTGCTCACCTTCCTACTTTGTTTGAGACAGGATTTGTTTACCACTGTGTTAGCCAGGCTAGCTACCCCAAAAGCTTCTTAAGAGTATCTTCTCTCCACCTCCTATCTCCCTTCCCTGTGGGATGCACTAGGATCCAAAATGCTTGAGCTATTGCATCCAGCATTTACAGCTTTTACATGGGTTCTGGGGATTTGAACTCAGGTCATCAGACCTGAGGGGGTAAGCATTTTACTCAATGGGCCATCTCCATAGTCATTCTTGATGGGAGCCATAGGAAGAAGGACTCAAGCTCTGATCTTAAAGCCTCACACAGTTTCTGACACATAGTAGGCACTAAATATTTAGTGAATGAAAAAAGGAATATAATTTTTTAAGGTTAGAAAAAGACTGGTTTTAGAATGCTGAGACTCCATTTCCTGTGACCTTCATGGAAAGTCAACGAGAATATCAAATTTCTAAGGAATAAAAAAGTGCAAGAGAGCAAGCATTCTTCTGTAACAGCGATAGAGTCTTTGACACAATTTGCCAAGTACTTGGGCACACTGGGCCTTGTAAATGTAATTACAATGTCTTCTGGGTGCCTTTGAAGATGGTCAAAGGCAAAAGCCACAGAACCAGCTGAAAGGCATCGAGGATCATTAGCTGCTATTTGAAACCCAGAGGCAAAGAGACATTAAGCGCCTGGAACCAGTCAGAGAAAGAGCCATCAGTCAGCCGTGGAAGCAAGGACAGAATTCCAAATGCATATAAACTGAGAACCCCCATCCCTCATCCTTCTCCCTTCCCTATCCCTTCCTTCTCTGTCATCAAAACAAAATATAGTTCTTGAGCTGTGGAGATGGCTCAGTAATGTAAAGGCATTTGCTGCCAGGAATGATCACCTGAGTTTGATCCTTAAGTACCCTCAGGGTAGGAGAACTAATTCCTGCAGGTTATCCCCTGACCTCCATACACACAGACACAGACACAGACACACAGACACTAACTCACACATACACACACATTTAATAAAATAAATTAATTCTTGGAGCTAGGAAGGCCCACAGATCACCACTTCCGAGTCCCTCACTTATTACTGGGGAGACTGAGACACCGATGAATGGAGGAGTTGGCCAACAGCACAGGCTGGTGCCCAAGCACAGAAATGATGACCAGGATCTCCCCAAGAAACAGAAAGTTTCCCCAAGGATTAGTGAAAGAAGGAGACAATTATATGGAAAGGCAAGTACCTCACTTTTTTTTTTTTAGCACAGGGTCTCATGTGTCCCAGGCTGGCCTTGAACCCACAATGTAACTAAGGATGACCTTAAACTTATATTCTTCATGCTTCCACTTCCCGAGGCCTGGGATTACAGGCTTTTACTACCATACCTGGTTTATATGGTGTTGGGGATCAAACTCAGGGCTTTGGGCATGCCAGGCAAACACTATACCAATGCAACTACATCCTCAAAGTGGTATAGGACCGTAGCCAGCCTGTGCTAGTTACTTTACACGTGTCTGCCCTGCTAGCTTTCAAACTACCCTTTTCAGGTCCCTGTTTTTAGCTCTCTCTCTCTCTCTCTCTCTCTCTCTCTCTCTCTCTCTCTCTCTCTCTCTCTCTCTCTCTCTCTCTAAGTAAAGAAACCTAGGCGGGGAGAGATGCTGTGATTTCTCCAAGGTTATATAACGGAGAATCACTTTACTCTCTGGCTACGGTGCTGTTTGTGGTTCCGTGGTGCTGAAATGAGTGGGGGAGCCGAGGCTCAGAGAAGGGGATACTGGCTGTAAAGCAGGTCTGGGGCCTTCACTTTATTCCCAGTGCTTCTGTCCAGCTACATCACGGTCACATCCGATGTCCACAATACAAGACATCCTGTCGGTCAGTTCCAGAAGCCATCGTGGTGCGGCTCCTACTGAACTCTCAGAACACATCTTTAGAGCAGAGGCACTGAGGACCATGGAGGGAAGGCAGCGGTGGGCACCCCCATTGGTCCTGTTGAGATCTTGAACAGGGTCATGGGCGCTCAGGGTTTCTCTAATCTGAACGTTGCTGGGGTGGGAATTAGTGTCCTCGCGTAGCCGGTTCATAATCCCCTGATTAAGGGAGCTCACACAGACCTTGTGGCAGTGGGATTATAGAACAGCATGTCTGATAAGGTCACTTTCCCTGCTCTGTCTCCTTCCAGCTCACAAATTGGCTCCCTGGGACTTGTTTTTACTATCATGATAGTTTGCTATTTCCCCCAAAGCTGTGGAAGAGGAATCAGCACCAGTTCCATCTGTCATGTTACTACAAAGCGCAGGGAGGCATGGGGAGTGCACAGACCTCAGTGAGCTTGCTCTCAGCCCAGACAGCCAGTTTCCTCATCCACAGAGTCGGGGCAGTAATGATATTCATTCCACAAGATGGGGAAGAGCAAAGAAGAAGAATGTCTGGGCAGCACAGAGCCTTCTGTACCCATTCAAGACATTGTCCGTTCACCTACTAATGAAAGAGCTTGGACAGGCACCACTGCCTATGGGGGGATGGTGGGCAAGAGAGCGGCCTTCTCAGCCCTGATTGTGTCTGTAAGACCAAGGCCAGAGGGGGGCGGGTTGTAAAGAATCACTCAGCATGGAGGAACACCTCCCATGTGCTCGCCCTTGGGCTGATATGGGAGTTGTGTTCCCATGTGGAAAGAGCTTTAACTGAGATGGATTCCGAGCATGTTGGAGCTGACTTTGCATACATCAGCACAATCAGTGCTTGCAATAGCACCGATGACAGCATCATTGGCCCAACATTACAGATAAGGAAATCCACGTGAGAAGGTTCTCCGTGGTTTGCTCAAGGTCACAAAGGTAGTAAAGAGCAGGAATTTGAAGTTGGGAGATCAGCCTGGTGCTCTGACACCTCTCTCATGTGCAAGTCACACGAGCCTCTGTGACCATGAACCAGACTCTTGGCAGATTATATCCGAGCTGAGATAAAATACCTGTCTCTCTCCTGTCTTCTGCTGTTTGGGATGCTTTCTCTTTTTCTCTCTCCTCTCTCTTATCTCGCTGCGCTTCCATCAATATTGTTGGTGTTATCTACCATCCATAGAGGAGACTGCTTCCCTTTTCTCTGCTGATATCATCCATCCCTCCTGACATTTGCAGAACAGAAAGGCTGCGATCCTACAGCACCAGTGATAGCTCTGGTTGTTAAGGTCCTTCCAGCCAGGGGTCTTCAAGCTGGAAAGAGTCCCTCATGACACCTAGCATCAGATAGCTTTGAGCCTTTGTGTCCAAGCTGAGAACCCCAGAGGCCCCCCAAATCCTCCCCATGGGAGATCTCCTTCAGTGATGTTTTCTTGACTAAACTCTACTCTGTCTTTCTACCACAAACTGTCAGCTTACCAACCAGGAATTATTAGTGCATGGCTCGTTATTAACCTCTGAGTTCTCACCTCAAATGCTCTAAAGAAAATGTTCCCATTCATGGGAGAAATGCAGACTGGTCCCAGCAGGATGCTGGAATGATTTGACATCTCAGAACCAAACATCTGGGAGACTTTATGACAGAGAGATTGCAAGTCAGAGCTCGGGGAATGGGACTCGCTGGGTTCAAACCTAACTCTCCCTGTTAGTATACCTGTCATCTTGAGGATAACCAGTCCCTGGTGTCTCAGTGTCCTCTATATCCTACCAAGAAGATGACAACAGTGGTGATGTCGTTCCTTTACTAGCTGGTAGAGGGAGTGAATAAAACATATGTGTTTAAAACACTGCCATTCAAAGAACACCAGCTGCAGATGTCTCTGTGTGACACAGGAAGTGCTTCTCAGATTAAATTAATCTCTATCACCTTCTAAGGAGACATTTCAGTGAATTGGGGGGAAGAAGAGAGGCTCCAAATAACTGAAACAGAAAAGGGCTTTGAAAGATCACAGTAAGAGAGGGAGAAGGAAGCAATGTTCTGCCCTTCTGTGTGTCATGTGTTTCACAGGACATGAAAGGCATAGACTGTATTTGTTAAGACTGTTGTGTCCTGAATCTGAAAAGGATCCCCACAGGCTCATAGTTTGAATAGCTAGTTCCAAGCTGATGATACTATTTGGGGGGGGGGTGTTAGAGACTTGAGTGGTGGGGCCCAGTTGCTGGAGGTGGGTCACTGGAGACAGCTTTTGGGGATCATATGTCCCTGGTTACTTCTCACACTTTACTTCCTGATCAGTTATGATGTGACTTCCTGGGCCATGGTGTTACCACCATAATGAACTGAACATTCTGGACCTTGAGCCAAAAAAAATAATATTCCCCCCACAACTTGTTTTTGTCAGATATTTTGGTCACAGCAATGCAAACGCAACTAAGGGAGAGACAAACAGCAAACAAAAATCCAGCTCAGCGAAGAGCATATCTAAGCACTTGTAAGCTGTGCCGAGCACACAATACAACACAATTCCTTCTTCTTCCTGTTCCGTCTTTTCAGCCGCCCAAGCGAGTCCCAATTCCCAGAAATTGGGACTGAACCAGAAGGGTTGGCTCAAGTTGATTGTCAACAACCAACAATTAAAAGTGGTTTTGATACTGGGTATGGTGGTGCTTTGAAGGTTGAAGCACAAGGATCATGAGTTCAAGGTTAGCCTGAACTATATAGCACGGTCCAGGATAGTCTGAGCTTTGTGGTGAGATCTTGTCTCAGAGAAGCCAGGCTTGGGGCACAGCTCAGTAGTCTGAGCTCCTGTTTCGCATGTGTATGTGTTGGGGTCAGTTTCCACCATGGAGGGTAAAGTGGCCCTAGGAAAGAAAACAAAGAGCAGCAAAGGCAAGAGAATACCACTTTAGCTCTGAAGAGGGCAGTATGGAGCCAAGGCCAAGCAGGTACTCACGGTTTCCTTCCAGTCAGGAGCCCAGGCAACTTGGGTTTCCAAGAGCTTATTTCTTGAAAGACAAACACATCTTCACACATGAAATAGGATTCTTGAGGTTTGAGCACAGTTACACACTGCCTCTCAGGGGGACACAGCGCAAACTGATACGAAGCTGGTTATGCAAGATGGATGGGAGAGTTCCCGTTTTCCTTTCCTGTGCTGGCGCTCAGGTCTGCTCTCTCAGATCAGCCTCTGTGAAGCTAAACAATAGCACAGCCTCCCAGATGGCGTCCGATGTTTGCAGAAGAAAGTGTTTCCTGTTCTTCTAAGACTCTGAGCACAGAGTCCTGCTGCCTAAAGCAAAATATTCTCGAAAACATCCTTTGCGCAGAAAGAAAATATTGAGAATGGGGATCTTAGCTCCTGCGATGCATTTATCAAACCAATCACAGTAGTTATAATTAGAACACAAAGGAACTGGACGCTAAGCATAAAATACATTTCCAGAAAACCTGAACTGCATGCAGTTAAGCCCTGTGTGGTGGCATTTCCAGGTATGCCATTAATGCATGGGTGGGGGGAGGGGTTGGAGCAGCTCTTTTCTTAAGTATCTCTCGGTCTGGTTGCATTAAAAGCTTCTACTAGAGTTGAAGAGGAGAAATAAGGATGCATAACATGAACTGCTACACACAGAGCTGTAAGACAGATGTCAAAGGGTCACTCACCCAAATGGCCACTTAAGCCATTCTCTGACACCCTGTGAAATATGTTCATTGGGCACCAATTCAGCCCAGGTCAGCATTAAGAGGAGGGGAGAGCTTCAGGGAAGGTAGAGTTTTAATTCTTCGCCTCCATTTTTGGGAATGCATTAAACGACTGTGGTAGAAATCTTCCCATGGCTCCCCACTACCCAGAGAAGAAAGATTATTCTTCTAAAACGTTTTATTATATTTATTAACTTATTTATTCATTTATTATGTGCTACAGGGTTGCCACCCACGCCACAGGCACCTGTAAAGGACAACTTGCAGGAGCTTGTTCTCCCCTCCCATTATGTGGGTTACCCAGGTTACCCACTGAACCGTCCTGGCAGCCCAGAGTGTCCATCTTACTGCCTCTCCCCACTGTGAGCTACCTGGACACTGCAATGTCTGTCTTTCCTTTTACCTTGACTTACATGATCTTTCCATGATCTCTTCAAGTCAGAGATTTTTATCTGTTTATCCTGGGTATCCAGGATTAAGCATATGAACCAGCAGCAGAATGGGTGCTTGGAAAATGTTGAGTGAAGAGTGACTAGTACAATAGGTAAATAAAGAAAGAAGTAAACAGTGAACCAGCCACGCTTCTGCACCCAGCTCAAAGCCACTTCAGATAATCCTTCTCCTGCTTGTCCCATGTCAGATTCTGCCGTTTCATTGCCGGGATGGCAATCCAGGACAGTTTTAAGGAAAAGGCAGCATTTCATAGAACAGCTGAGGAGAGGCAATTCAGGTAGGAAGAGATGCACATGACATGTGGTGGCGACTGTATAAAGCACTGTGGATCTCCTTAGAACACACCCTTTGAGTAGAAGCCCTGAGTTTTTCCTGGGATCCTGTTTAGGAGAGTGGGTGTCCAATGGCAGATTTCAGACCATGTCCTCTGGCATCTTGCCATATAAAAAGTATAAAAAGACTGTATAGAGTTGCCATGTAACCTTCGCTCCTTTCCCCCAGTGTGAAAAGATCACCAGCAGGACATTAGCGTTGGGACAATTCACCTACCTACTTCAGACTTCGTTTTAAATTCACCTGTGTGTGTTTGCATACTTTACATTTCTGATAACAGCTCCTTGCTTTCCTCCATCCCGGAGACCACCAGGGCAGGGGATCAGGCTCTTCTATCCCAGCACAGGACTTGGCTCCCGCTGGCACCTGTGCAGATGACTGACAATCGTCCACATACACACTTAAACTTGTCAGCGTGTGTGCAAGCGGCAGGAACAACATTTTAAGGCAGAAAAACGAAGTATGAAGCATCTAATATTTTAGAGGCCAAAAGTTGGCCATTTTCCCCAGTTGTGAATTGGCAAACCTGCTAATTACTCCAGAGCGACCCTGGAATTCAGCTGTGATCTCTGGAGAGCACAGTTTTGGGGACCCCATCCCTTCACCCCTGGGTTGTGGGAGTGGGAAGTCTTCGCAGGCCACCCCCCTAGGGCTCCTCCTGCTGCTACTCCCCACTTTCACCCCTTTCTTCCCTGGGGCCGGACTGTTTCACCCCGTCTCCAGGCAACAGCCAGGCGCGCCAGGCGGGACGTCATTTCCTGAAGAGCCCGCTGGGGGGACGGGGCGGGGAGGGGGAGGGGCGAGGGGCGGGGCCAAGGCCCGGCTGGCGACGGCGACGGGCGTCGGAACTCGCTGGAAGACTCGGCTCAGAGCTGCTCAACAGTTCGCAAAGTCCGGGCTCACGAGTGCGTTGCTTCGTGTGCGCCCGGGCGGCGCTGGGGCGCGGGGGGCCCCGGGCTGCTGCATGGTGGGCGGCCCGGGACATGCCCCGCTCCCCCCGCCGGACGCCCGCGTGGCTCCTCCGGCTGCGACTGCTCCGGACTCTGGGACTAGATCGACCGACGCCCTAACTTCTGACTTTGGGGTCCCCCAGCCCTAGAGGAACGGGCAGCTCGGCTGGGGGAGCCCCGGGCATGGTGTGACGGGGCGGCCGCCGTGGCTGCGCCCCCCACTGCGGCCACGCGTGGTCCCCGCGCCTTCCGTCATGTAGCTGCTGTCCCCGCTCCCCTCCGCCTCCAGCCGCAGTCTCCGCGACCTCCGGCCTCCAGCCACCAACTCTTTGTCCCCCAGGATCCCGCCGCGGTCTTCGCGTCCTCGGGATTGCAGCCGCCGTCTCTTCGTCCTCCGGATTCCAGTTTCGCCACTCCGGCTGCCTTCGCGCCCCTGGGACACTAGCCACGGTCCCTGCCATCTCCCCAGGATCCAGCCACCGCTCCTGCGCTCCCCCCCCCCGCCCCAACCCACCCCACAGCCGTCGTCTCCGCTCTCCAGCCAGTCTAGACTGCAGTCACAGTCTCCGCGTCTCCCCCAAGCCCAGACTCCAGCCGTGACCTCCGCGCCCCCGGGAATCCAGCTGTCGCGCCGCTGGCCGCAGGTGCAGCAGCCGCCCCGCGCCGCGCGCCCCGAGTGCGGCCGGGCCTCGGCGGGGAGATGAACGCGCAGCTGGACGGCCTGTCGGTGAGCTCGTCCTCCACCGGCTCGCTGGGCTCAGCGGCCGCGGCGGGCGGCGGCGGGGGCGCGGGGCTGCGGCTGCTGTCTGCCAACGTGCGCCAGCTGCACCAGGCGCTCACGGCGCTGCTGAGCGAGCCCGAGCGGGAGCAGTTCACTCACTGCCTCAACGCGTACCACGCGCGCCGCAACGTCTTCGACCTGGTGCGCACCCTGCGCGTCCTGCTGGACAGCCCGGTCAAGCGGCGTCTGCTGCCCATGCTGCGACTGGTCATCCCGCGCTCCGACCAGCTGCTCTTCGACCAGTATACGGCCGAGGGCCTCTACCTGCCCGCCACCACCCCCTATAGGCAGCCCGCCTGGGCCGCTCCCGACGGCGCGGGGCCCGGGGAGGTGCGGATCGTGAGCCTGCGGCGCGCCAAGGCCCACGAGGGCTTGGGCTTCAGCATCCGCGGGGGCTCGGAACACGGAGTGGGTATCTACGTGTCACTAGTGGAGCCGGGCTCCCTGGCAGAGAAGGAAGGGTTGCGGGTCGGGGACCAGATTCTGCGCGTCAACGATAAATCTCTAGCCCGGGTGACCCACGCGGAGGCTGTCAAGGTAGGGCTGTGGTTTGTGGGAGTGGTAAGGGGACGGTACAGGCAGTGTAGTACTGCCTTTTCGCTTGCGCTGTGCTGTTTTCTCTTATACCAAATCGCTTGACCCTTCTGGTCTCCGTTATGTTTTTGTTTTGCCCCCCTGCCTCGACTTTAAAAGAGGAATATCTAGTGTGTGGCACAGACAGGTGTTCCAAGCAGAGAGGAAATGGTGATTCTTGCCTTGGGTGACCTAAAGGCTAAGGCACAAACAGGGTATCACACAAGCAAATGTGTGGTCACAAAGTGTGAAAGGGGCTGTGGAATCCTAGGAATGGTAGAAGAGAGCCCCTGCTTGGCATTACTGATGATCCACTGTGCTGCCCCTAAAGTTCTGTTTCACTGCTAGTGATACAGGAGGAGGCTGGGTGACCACAGAGCTATTGCAGACTAGCTGGTGTATCCCAGAACAAGCCACACCAGACAAGTGGCTCCTGACTTTGTTGCAAACTAGGCTACTGCCCAAACATCCGAAATGAAACCCCACAGTCCCATGAAAGGGTGCACTTTGTGTGTGTGTGTGTGTGTGTGTGTGTGTGTGTGTGTTTGTGTGTGGTGTGTATCTGTTAATTGAGAAAAATAACCTCACCACAACCAGCTAGTAGCAATCTAATCCTGCTGTCTGGAAGAACATTCGTGCCTGCTAATCTTACGTCCCAGGGTGAGCGAACACCAGCCAGCTGGAGTATGAGATGCAGGGTCTGGTCCCTGGGTGGACTCAAGGATCTTTCTCTCATAAGCACTTAGCCCCAGCCCTACTGCTTCTTAACATGAAGTGAGGAGTTCCAAGGAAAGGAATGACAGTTCACTATCTGCTCTCTTCAGAGAAATGCTTCCCCCTGGTTAGGGTTGGCCGGTGAGCCCCCCTCACCCCATTCTCTGGCCTACCTCACACAGCTGTACCAAACAGGGCACACTGGCTGCTGGGAAACTCCTAGGTAGCAAAGGTCCAGGGCTGCTTCCTGTGGGGTGTTCAGTGACTTGTGGTCAGAGGAGTGGAGCTGGATGATTGTGTGTGTGTGCACCTTGGACACTACCTTCTGTCCCTGACCTTGGCTTTGATCATTTGCTTCTCTACTCAAGGTCCCCTTTTCAGGAGGCCCCTGAGGTTTCTGAAAAATTCTTTCCAGTTTCTGGAGAAGCTTAATGGCCTTTTATTATTCTGGGGGCTGGCAAAGCTCTTCGTGGGTTTCCCATTCTCTCAGGCTCCTCCCCCAACATGATTCTCTCCTCTTTATCTTGCATCCCATATATCTATAAAGAAATAGCCCATTAGTGTTGTCCTAAGAGGTCCAAAGTTCCCAAAATGATGAATTTATGCTCTAAAGAGACTTGATCCAAATGTCATTTATAAGCACGGATTCATTTTTAGTGGCAATTTACAGAAACTGGAGCCACTTAATCATCACTAGGTGAGAGACTTTGGAAAGGCAACTTGAACATGAGCAATACAGGCTCTTCCTCCAGTTTGCACCTCAGATCTGGCTGAACCATTCAGTTTCTGGCATCAAAAAGGTCATGATCGGGACTGTATGCCTCAACCTCCCTGGAGCTGCTCCTGGGTGCTCTTGAACTGGGGTTCAGGGACCTACCTCGCATCAGCTCCTGCTTGATGTTTACGGAGGGACACCTCAGCTCTCCAAGCACAGTTTAGGAAGCCTGCAAAGGAACACTTTCCCCGGGGTTGAAGGGAATAGAACAGGAACATCCTTGAAGTGTGACATCCACAGCACAGGGGTTGTGTGAGCAGAGTTGATTTGTGCATCCCTTTTCCTCCTGGTGACTACCATGAGCTCCCGGCCTAAGGAAGCACTTCTTCTAACCAGTGTCAGACATGCGATCCTGGGACCCTTCAGAAGCATCGGGCAAAAGGAATGTTGTGTCATCCCAACTCCAGGGAACGGAGGGGACAGAATTTTCAGTGGTAATACGGAACAGAGGACACCACTGCAGGATGGCATCATGTTCAGGTGAACAGTTAGAACACCCGGAGAACTGTTGACATATTTGTATAAAATGCAGAGAATAAAGCCCCTTCTCTGAGACCTGGAAGGGGCCCTAGTTATTCCAGGAGACACACGTCATCGCCTGGGAATTCTGTGTGTGTGACCTCTGGGTCAGCCAGGAGCTATGGGACTCAGAGGGCTCCATGGTTAGTGTACACAGATGCTTGCTGGACTCCAGGCTTCATTCAGTGTCCCTGAGTCTTCTACTTGTGTCTTGTTTCTGTCCCAGGGTCCCCCATTCCATTTAGTAGAAGATGCCTTTTCAATTAAAAACAAAAATCTATATTTTTCTTTCATGTTGGCAAAAGGAAGTGAACCTCAGAACTTTCCCAGAGGAGAGATTGTTTGTATGCATATACAGCATAAAGAGAATCCAATTAAAATGAACTCTTAAGAATCAAAGTGTCAGAGCACCTGTGCATCAGAGAGGAACGCAGCTTTTAAAAGAGGGATCAAGTAAACAAAGTTGACTCAGCTTCTCTTCCTGACTGATCTTACATCCATTGATACCCAAAGCAATTTGCTCAGGATTTTGTCCTGTTCCCAACAGGATTCCATTCCTCTTTTGAAGTCCAGTTATCCAATCAGCAGTGACGGGTCCAATTTAGGCAAAGCATTTACTATGTAGAATTATGTTGGAATGTTTGAGTTTTGAGTGGGGGGGGAAGCTATTTGGAATGAACAAGAGTCAAACTAGTAAATTTTTTTTTAAGTCGCTCTTTCAAAGGTCTCCAGACAGACATGCCAGATCAGTCAGCCAAGGACTCCATAGACTACTTGCTACATTAAGTTCTGCTGCACCCTTGCCATGTGTGACCTTGGGCAAGTCACTGACTGATATGATCTGCTCCAGGCTAGATGAGCCTGGAGCTGTCCAAGGTCCTTCCCAGCTCCGGGAGTCTGATTTGCTTGGCATGTGCTACCCAGAAGGCATGGAGACTGTCTGATCATCTGTGTTCTTGTTCTTTTGGAATTGCCTTCAATTAAGGCAAAAAGAATTGGCTGTGGATTGGGAGAAGGGAAGCTTGGCACCCCTGGGCAACTGCTAAATCAGGAAATCCATGGGTTACACACTGTACTGATGGGAGCCCGGCTGCAGTCTCCCACTCCTGCCTCTCAACCCAGGAACACCAGCCCTGGGGTGAGTCCAGAGTGAGTGGGAATTGCCAGTAGGGTTGGGGCACAAACAGCACCGCCTTGGGAGCACTGGAGCAAATCCACTCACCCACTAGCTTCTTTAGTCCCTTGTTGATGTAGGTAGCAGCACTTAGGATATCCAGGTGCTGTTTGGTGTGTGTGTGATGTGGTGTGTGTGTGTGTGTGTGTGTGTGTGTGTGTGTGTGTGTGTGTGTATGTATGTATGTATGTATGTATGTATGTATGTATGTATATGGTGTGTGTGGGGTGTGTGTGTGTGTGTGTATGCGGTGTGTGGGTGTG